AAGAGAGTAACACCTCCAGTATGTTGAATTCTGTCTTATTATGTCTCTATAATATTATAATGTAATGCTATAATCCTTCCTTGGATTTCTATGATGTTGCATAGTATTTCATAAAGTTAGAGGCCATCGTTCCCATGAGAAACCAAAATCTTCCTAGTCCCCTCCCAGGGTTTCTGTGGGGGTTGGGGGGTGGCGATGTCACCTTGCCTGTGCCATGAAAGGAACCTGGTATACAGGGGTGGGTTACCATCTATTGAATTCCTTTGCCCAGAAGGAGAATCTAGGAGTGTCAAGTGCTGGGTAACTGATGGTCCATGCCACAAATATGGACACACAAAAGAATTTCATTCCTGACTGCATAAGAAAGAACATGCAATGGGTTCTTTCTAGGGGCAAGAATGGATGTATGGGACCATCCTAAGCCCTGACCTTAGCAATGGGGAAACTTAGGTCCAGGAAAAGCTCAGCATAAACATCTCAATAATCATTATATGAACCCCAGAACTGTCTCACACAGTGATTCAGGGCAGTGCTTAAATGCACCCCAGGTTACAATTCTTAGCCTCCTTTTCTTTGTGTATACAATTGAAAATTGAGGTCACTGGGGTCGCATTCCAGTTCAGTTACAGTCAGCTGTGTGCTGGAGCTGGCTCCGGCTGGCTCTCAAGAGCTCATGCTTAACAACTCTTGCCAACTCAGAGCTTAATGATACCATCTTGGTAGTTTGACACAGTGATGATGGGAATATTTATACCACAGAAACTGGCAAATTCTCCAACCCACCCCTCAGTCAGTCAGTAGCTAAACCTTTACCAGTGGACCACTGAATATAACCTGGGTATGAACATCCCTGCCAGAGGACCTCACTTTTCTCACTTCATCTAGGAACAAAGTCTTTCTCCAAAGGACTGTAACTCTCCATGTAGGATTCTACAATCCTACACTCTCAAGTCCATCCCCCTTCTGTATTAACTAGTGAGCCATTGAATGTTTTCCCGAATTCTAGAGTGCCAGGTCCCACCCTTGACTACAAGAAGATCGTTCCTCTGATCTTTATAGGATCACTGTGAGAAAGTTATTGTTGTCTACAGCCATACCACCCTGAATGCACCCGATCTCGTCTGATCTTGGAAGCTAAGCAGGGTCGGGCCTGGTTAGTACCTGGAAGAGAGAAAGTTACTGTAACTTCCAGCTTTTAACTACAGAATAAAGCCTGTCTTAGGTTGGCTACTCCGAGATGTGGACACTGTGACAAGGATTCAAGGGCAAATACAAGGGAGCAGGGAAATGAGACAGAAAGAAAGATAGCCAGGGAAGAGAGGGAGTGACTACTGTGAGCAAGGAGGAGTCAGTCCTGCTAAGAACTTCACAGACAGCAGAAAGCATGCCCTAAAGTCATCCCAGCAGAGATGAGGGAGTTGGGGTATTCGTATACCTTCTCCATCACTGGTTGTGGCTAAGGGAACACAAGCAGGACGGTGATGGTACCTATTAGCCCGTATTCTAGAAAATGATGGAATGCAAGCCAAACTCTCCATTACAAATAAAGAATGAGGAAAAGCCTTTCAAAATCACTTTGTCTGGCTCACTGGAATTAACCACTTGCTCTTCCCCATCTCTTTCTTCTCTGAGATATTTTCCCTCTCTGGTTTGGCCACTGCTGCCTCAGGCAGAAATTCTGTAGCCCCAAGCTATTATCCATGTAGCTCACCAACCTGTGATTAAGGCTCTGAAGTTTGCCCTCCCTGGATAATCAACAATGATCCACTGGCAGCCAGGATGCCCTGTTTACTGCACCTCCTGCCCAGCCCCCATCCTTACAAGGACACCTCCTCTTAAGAAACCCACAAGCAGGACAAATAAACGAAACCAGCAATCATGGGCCTGTGAGTGCTTACCACACCTAAAGGAGGTTTTTAAATAGGACAGTGTATCATTGGGGTTTAAAAAATATATTAAAAAAACATACTGTGAAGGATGGGACATGTCAGGAGAGACTGCTACATATACCCCAGCTTTATTAAATCCAGCTGGGACAGCTCTCAGCATGTCTACTTAAAGACATCTTCGAAGCCAGTTGCTGGCGGCTCATACCTGTAATCCTAACTACTCAGGAGGCTGAGATCTGAGGATCAAAGCCACACTGGGAGAAAAGTCTGTGAGACTTATCACCCATTAACATCTAATAACTGAAAGTGAAGCTGTGGCTCAAAGTAGTAGAGCACTAGTCTTCAGAAAAAGAAAAAGAAAACCTCAGGACAGCACCCAGGCCCTGAGTTCAAGCTCCACGACTGACTTAAAAAAAAAAAAAAAAAAAAAAAGACATCTTCCATTCCAAGCACGCTACTGAGACCAGCCCCATTTTATACTGAGAGCACAGGAGTTTCTGTCAATCCCTTGATCAGCTTTCGGGATTCCCAGTCCATCTCCTAGCCTCTCCTTAGGACTCTGGCAACTTCTACACCCCCTTTTCCCAGGCAGTGGGGATACTTCCTGCCAAAGTAACCCAAGGAGAACAGAAAGCAGTTATCAGACTCTTTTGTGTTTGGTCCTCTTTCCAACAAGCCCAACAGTCCAGCCCTTTGAGGTAGCAGAGTTGCCAAGATGCATGGCCCTGGGCACCTCTCCAGCCAGCTTCCTCAGTCATTCCCAGGCAGCTCACACACAGAATGCAGACAAGAAGCCTGGCTCTGGGATGCCGTGTAGCAGACCAAGAAGTCTAAGAGAAACCCATGGGTCAGTGCGATGTCCCTTGTGGGTAGGACAAGAAAGCTAGTTGAGAGACTGAAAGCAAGAGGTAGAGTCAACAAGGGGTAGAGTACCATTCCCCACTGACTCTTAACTGACTTTTGTTTGTTTGGTTTTTGTTTTGTCAGTCGTGGGACTTGAACTCTGAGCCTGGGTGCTATCCCACAGCTTTTCAGCTAAAGGCGAGCACTCTACTGCTTGAGCTACAGCGCCACTTCCGATTTTCTAGTGGTTAATTGGAAATAAGAGTCTCATGGCCTTTCCTGTTTGGGCTGGCTTTGAATCATGATCCTCAGATCTCAGCCTCCTGAGTAGCTAGGATTACAGGTATGAGCCACCGGCACCAGGCCACATTTTTTTTTTCTTTTGGTCGGTTGTGGGGCTTGAACTCAAGATGTGGGTGGGTGCTGTCTCTGAGCCTTTTTGCATTCAAGGCTAGTGCTCTACCATTAGAGCCACAGCACCACTTCAAATTTTGAATGGTTAACTGGAGATAAGAGTCTTATGGGGGACTTCTCTGCCCAGAGCTGGTGTCAAACTGCAATCCTCAGGAATCAGCCTCCTGTGTAGCTAGGATTACAGGTGTAAGCCACTGGTGCCCAGCTCAATAACACAAATTTGAAAGAAGGCCTGAACTTCCCAAAAGCGATGCTCGGGGCTGGGAAGATGGTTCAGTGGTAGAGCGCTTGCCTTGCATGCCTGAGGCCCTGGGTTCGATTCCTCAGCACCACATAAGCAAAAAGAAAAAAGCCGGAAGTGGCGCTGTGGCTCAAGTGGTAGAGCGCTAGCCTTGAGCTGAAGAGCTGAGGGACAGCGCCCAGGCCCAGAGTTCAGGCCCCACGACCGCACCCCCCCCCAAAAAAAAACAAAAAGCGATGCTCACAGGAAAATTGTGGAGTCCTATGGACACAGAGACCACCCTCAGGAATGTGGGGGTGATGTTGGCTGGAGATAGGGTAGGCACCATATAGCCCATGTACTGGTTCACCTGGCATACTCCATGCCTTCTCTGGAAGTAGGTTCACCTGAGAACCCCAGATTCCTCTGCCTTTTGTCATACAGGCTCCTCCAAGATGCCCCTCATCATTCTAATGGGATTTCAACATCATAAAGGAAAGTAATGGAGTCCTTGCATGATCAAGGCTGTGGTCCAGATTTTATCCTGTGTCATCCTAACATTCTTCTTCTGCTCCCTCACTTGCTAAAGGAGGAGTGAGTCTAGCCTTCCAGGTTCCCTAATAGAGGGAACCCAAAACTCTACCAACCCATACCCCTAGGCACCCAGAAAGGTTACATGCTATGCTTCCATCTCTTCTCAGGGTGAGAACTACCTCTCTCTCCAAAACCATCCAGCCCTGGTGCTGGTGCCTCACACTTGTAATCCTAGCCACTTAGGAGACTGAGATCTGAAACCCCAAGGTGTTTTTTGTTTTTGTTTGTTGGTGGTGGTGGTGGTGGTGGTCGTCGTCATGGGGCTTGAACTCTGGGCCTGGGCACTGTCCCTCAGCTCTTCAGCTCAAGGCTAGTGCTTTACCACTTGAGCTACAGTGACACTTCCGGTTTTCTGGTGGTTTATTGGAGATAAGAGTTTCATGGACTTTCCTGCTCAGGCTGGCTTTGAACCAAGATCCTCAGATCTCAGCCTCCTGAGTAGCTAGGATGACAGTTGTAAGCCACCTGCGACAGGCTGTAACTCCAAGGTTTGAAGTCACCTGAGCAGAAAACTTCATAAGATTCTTATCTCTAAGTAGCCAGTAGGGGAAAGAAAGAAAAAAAGCCAGAAGTGGAACTGAGGCTCAAGTGAGAGCGAAATCAAGGGAGAGAACAGCAGCCACCCCCCCTTCAAGCTCCAGTATCAGCATAAAAACAAACAAACAACAACAACAGCAAAAGCAAACACAGGCTCCAAGCTCAGCCACCTCAGCTATATGGTTTGATGTCTCCACTGCCTCCTTTCTCAAATCCAATACATCTCAGCTACAAAGGTTTATTTATTTAACCCTCAGCCCACTTGCAGCAAGTTTCCCTTAATCAGTGTGAATTGAAAAGGAAGGTAGGTCAAGCTCAGATGAGCCCTCCTCCACGTGCTCCTGAAGGAAGGCCCCTGGCTCAGACTCCCGCTCTAGATTTTTTAATCCTTTCCTCCCATTGTACCGAGACCCATTGAGGCAGGAACGGAGTGGGGTCCGTGACGAATGGTTATTTGCCAGCGCATTCCTTCACACATCATTCATCACAAGGAAGGTACTTACTATTACCGGGTCCTCTACTTCCTCCGAGAAGGCGATCTAGACCCCCTGGATTGCAGACACCTAGGGATAAAGTGCACAAAACGTTGAGGGGCCTGGCGCTCAGCTTGTCACAGAGGCGCAGGGGGCTGTTGGGCACCGTCCAGAATCCATGTAGCACCCCGAAAGTGAAACGTAGAACCCCAGTGTCCGTGCCAGGCCACAGCCACGCGGCTATCCCCCATTCGAGCTGAGTGCAAACTAAGCCCTTGAAATGCAGAAGTGGTTTCCCTCCCCCCTCCCCCCCCCCCCCCCGCCCCTGCAGCGCCAGGCACCTGCCTCGCTCGCTCCGGGCGCCAGAGAACTCAAAGCTAGGTCCCCAGCCACCTCCGGCAACCGCTCCCGAGCCGGGTGGCGAGAGACCCAGAGACCGAGGACCACGCCCCCACCCCCGCTCCCCCCAGCTAGGGGACTGTCCGGGCACAGGGAGGAAGGGGGTGGAGTGGGGGTCAGATCCTCCCCAGGACTATCCTGGCCTGCGATCCCCGCACCTGCTGCTCGGCCTCACTTCGGTAGGGAGGTCCGGAGACCCTAGATCAAGGGTGGGTGTCCCCTCAAGGGGCTAGTCGAGGAGGATCAGTTCCGAGCCATAACTTTCTTGGGCCAGAAAGCCGGCCGCTTGAGCCTCCTCTCCAACGCGGCCCTAGGGGCAATCGGCATACAAGGGAACCGCCTGTGGCCGGGCAGAGGGGAGGGCACCAGTGGCAGGGGAAGACTGAGAGGTTGAGTTGAACCAGACAAGGGCCACCGCGGGAAAACTTCAGGCGAGATGGTGGGGACCGCCCCGCGCCCCGCACCGTGCGCCCCAGTACCGGGCTCCAGTGCCCCGCGCCCCGCGCCTTGCCTGCGTCCGAGGCCAGCTGCATCCCGCGCGCACCACAGCGACTGTGTAGTTTGAAAGTGGGGGTGCTGCTGCGGGGATTCATGGGGAATGTTGGGGGGGGCTGGCTCCCACCGGCGCCTGGGCCAGCTCTCTGCAGTTGGGGTTCAATCCCCCCAGGGAGGGCCGGCCAGCGGCGGCGTGATGGGGGGTGAGGGGGGCCGGGCGCCCCGCCCTCCTTGCTCCCCTCCGCCCCTCCTCGCCCTCCTTCCCGCCCCTCTGCCGTGATCAGCCCTACCGAGCCCGGCCGTCCTCTCTCCTCCTCTTTCTCTCGCTCTCCATCTCACACCCCCGCCCCGCCCCGCCCTCTCCTTGGCCTTTCTTCCTCCCCGCCTGCCTCCTCCCTCCCCTCCCCTCCCCTCTACGGGGCGGAGCTTCTCCCCTCCCTCCTAGACAAAGCTGTGTCTGCGCGTCCCCCCCCCCCCGCCCCCTTCCCCGCCAGCGAGTCCCAGCCTCCGCCTGGCCAGCGTCCCTTCCCGGGCCAGGCCCGGGGGGTGCGGAGTGGGTAGGAGTATGGGGCGGGGAAGAGGGGCAGGCTCCCCTCACCCCAGGGCCGCTGACCCTCTCTCCAAGCCGGGATGGAGACTTGGCGCCAGCTCCCGGCTCTCCTAGCTCGGTGACAGCCACTCCCAGGGAGCAGTCCCCGAAGCGCCACAGACCCCAGTCCTTCGAGCGCCCCGGATTCCCCGCGCAGAGAAGGTGCGGGGTTTTGCGCGGTGTGTTTTGCTTTGAAACATCCCCGGCTCATTCCCTACATGGGTTTGCGCCGAGTACAGGGGCTAAGCCGGCCCCTTGGACTTCGCGGGCTGCCGGACGTGACTGCAATGTGAAGAAGGCCAGGTTTCTTTGTCCAGCTCTCACCGCACCCCCCCCCCCCCACCGCCGCCCCATCCCTGGACCTCCTGACACTGAGTGCACAAGAGGTCTCTGAACACCCTGGCTGCAAATACCTTATCCGCTTCCCACCCTGCTAACGGGTGGCCAGCCCCCAGGTACACCCCGACCAGCAGACCAGCTCATCCTATCTGCTTGGAAGCCAGACATTCTTTACTAAATTCATTGTTTGGATCTTGGAATGCGTCTCCCTTAGAAACAATGTTATAAATGGCCACAAAAGTCTGCAGAATCTAAAATGCAGCTGCAGGGTGGTGCTGGGAACTGTCAGCTACCCTCTGAACAAGGAGGCCACTGATCAGCCTTCTCTATTGAAATAAATAAATAAATAGTACTGCTTCTTTCTCCTTGAGCTGTGAACACAAACCTCTCTCATTAATCTCTCTCCTCTCTGGAGCAACTTGTTCTATGTTAATTAAGCGTTTTCCCTCCTTAGGTAACAAGAGGAGAGAGAGTGAGTATATTCTGAAGACCTAGTATTGGCTATCAGAACTGCAGGGAGAGCTCGCATAAGAGGCAAATCTAGCACCCAGAGGCCTTTGTTTGAGTAACTCTGAAAGCCTCTGTAAGGGGTTCTTGCTTCTTTTCTTCATTGACCTTCCATCTACTCCAGCCACATAACAATAGGTGGCCAGGACCTCTATCACAGATCCCTGATGTTCCATTGTTCAAAACAGCTGCCAGGTACTGCTAAGAGGTTCCTAGTCTCTATCTAGTCTCCCAGGAGAGCAGCTCATTGCTTTATATTTTCTCAGATGATCACCTTTTGACCAATCATCTGGGGCTAGGGATGGACTTCCATTGTCCAGTAGGACTGTCAGAAACAGTGACCCTAGGCCCTATTAAAACCAAATCCATTAGGAGCAATGGGTGACAATGTTGTCAGACACGTTGTACTCATACGCTGTTTTGTAGAATGGGAACTTCTTTGTATAACTACTTAAAGATAATATTTTAAAAAAACCCATGTCTCATATTTCTCCATCTTGGTGAATACATGGAATAATGGTATTAAAGTCTTGGCTGATTGATTCAAGACACTGATAAACATCTTTGTGTTTTTTATGTTTTTGTTTGTTTTTGAGGCAGAGTCTCAGTGTAGCTCAAGCTGAGTTGGAAGTTGCTATGTAGCTATGGTCTAAGATTCAGAATCCTGCCTCTGAATGCTGTGCCTCTTGAATGCTAGGATTTCTATTCATTAGTTTCCACATACAGAAACCACAAGAAGCCGGGCAACAATTGCGAATCCTAGCTATTCAGGAAGCTGAAATCTGAAGTAATAGTTTAAAGCCAATTAGGCAGAAAAATCTGAGATTCTATCTCCAATTAACCAGCAAAAATGCTAGATGGTAGAGCACCAGCCATGAGCAAAAAAGCTAAGTGAGAGGCCTGAATTCAAGCCCCAGGACCAGCATCCTTTAATACTAAATTGATGCATTAAAGTATACCTTTAAACCTATGTTTTTTTCTCAGGCTTCCACTCTCAGGAGCTGAACAGGGAAGCTCAAGGCTCAGGAAAGAGGCAGGTGTGGGCTCTCTAGAAAGAATTCTTCAATAAAAACAGGGGTAGCTCAGTGGCAGAACACTTTCCTAATAGAAGCAAGGCTCTGGGTTTTATCTCCAAAAAAGGTGGGGGGGGGGTCCCACAAGTGTAATTTTAAACCTTCTAGTCAATCATTAAAAATGGTTAAAAATAAAGAGCAGAAATTAAGTTCAATATTTTTATTTAACCCAGAATGGCCAAAATATTATCATTTCAGCATGTAATCAATATAAAGGAATTATTAATGAGATGTTTCATATCCTGTTTCCATATTGTGGCTGAAATCCAGTGTATATTTACACTTGTACATATCTCAACTGAGGTTCAATTACCTATCACTTAAAATGCTCCATCTGTAGTTAGAGTTTAGAAAACTGGCTGAAAAAGAAGATTCATAGACCCAAGGTGTTCCAGGCATACTTCAACGTTTCTCAGTTACAAATATCAATGTATGAATTTTAATTTTAGTTGTGAACAAAGAAATTGAAATTCAGTTCCTCAGGGGCCTTAATTCAAGTCTTCAGTAGCCACATGTCACTAGCGGTTCCCTAATGGGACAGCAGAGGCCTGAGACCAAAAAGCCACAGATGAGCCCAGAGGCCCAGAGCTGACTTCCTCCTTCTCCCTTGCCACACAGAGGGAGGAATCATGAAGCATGGCTAGAAAAGAACAATTTTTCAATTTCTTTCATTTCCCTACTATACCATCTGGAGAGACAGTCCTTGCCTCTAGATGACACACCTCGACACCTATGTTCCCTGAGACAGGAGGGAAGACCAAAGCCTGCTCTTTCTCAGTTCCCAGAGGGCTCTGGGAAAAGGGAAGAAGTGGTAGGGGAGAGAAGATGCTCTATCTTCCCCGCTATGAGCGAGGAGGACCTTTCATGTCATTGAAAGAGAAAGTTAGATACAACCTCCCCCAAGGATCTATCGTGAAGAAAACTGGGAAGAACCCTGAGTTTAAACTATTACACCAGATTTCATTTACTAAACAGATAGTAGGGAGTTTTATTTCCCCTCTGTCTGATGGGAATTAAAAATCTACAAAGTGCCCGGCACTGGTGACTCATGCCTATAATCCTAACTACTCAGGAGGTTGAGATCCTTGGATTGCAGTTCAGAGCCAGCCTGGCAGAAAATCTACAAAACCCTAATCTCCAATTAACCACCAGAAAATTGGAGGTGGCTCTCTCTGTGGCTCAAAAGTGGTAGAGTGAGCCGGGCACTGATGGCTCACGCCTGTAATCCTAGCTACTCAGGAGGCTGAGATCTGAGGATCAAGGTTCAGAGCCAGCCAGGGCAGGAAAGTCCGTGAGACTCTTATCTCTAATAAACCACCAGAAAACCGGAAGTGGCACTGTGGCTCAAGCGGTAGAGTGCTTGCCTTGAGCTAAAGAGCGCAGGGACAGCACCCAAGCCCAGAGTTCAAGCCCCACGACTGACCAAAAAAAAAAAAAAAAAAGAATGCATTCAGTTGCCTCTCTTTGAAGCAAAGATAGCATTTCTAAGTTTTTAGATAACATATTTTTGAGTTGCCTACACCAGGCCTGTTTCCATAAGTTATCCTGCTTCATTTCCCCAAAAATGATTTTTTTTGGGGGGGTCTAGTCGTGGGGCCTGAACTCTGGTCCTGGGCATTGTCCCTCAGCTCTTCAGCTCAAGGCTAGCGCTCTACCACTTGAGCTACAGCGCCACTTCCGGCTTTTTTTTTTCTGCTTATGTGGTGCTGAGGAATCGAACCCAGGGCCTCATGCGTGCAAGGCAAGTGCTCTACCACTGAGCCACCTTCCCAGCCCCCCAAAATGAGTTTTGTTCTCTTAATCTTAAGGGAAGTACATAAAGGAGTATCTCCTGTATTTGCTATTAGCTGACCATACCTCATTTTTTCCTAG